GTTCCTGTTTGCGAGTTAAGGGTCGGAGAGTCACAATAGCTGACGCCACCCGCCGTGTTTGGGGTTCACGGCTTAATACGTCCCCCATGCAAACAAGGAATCCTTCACTCTAGCTTCTCTGGTTATTGTTAATCTTTAAATTACTGACGACAGAAGAACAACTGATTGTTGTCAAATACCTGACTTACCTGTGAAGAAATCATACATGGCATGCTGACGTGCGCACGTACGTTGACTACATGTACATGTATGGCATATTTTTGCTTTTGAGGGAATTTGGAATGGCCAAATAACCGAATATTCGAATATTCGATCGATTGGAAGGTCGAATATTCGAATATTCAATTATTCGAATTGACTCAGCCCTAGCTACTCTTAGTTACTACAGTATTAGAAAAAAAAGATGTAAAATGCTTTTTGCTTAGGCTTATATTTTATTTCAAAGCATTGACATGATGAGCTCCAATGTACAGGGAGGCTTTTGGGCGGTCCCACTCTCTGGAGGGGAAACTAATTGTAGTTTTTAATCCCCCCTACCCCCAATTTTGTGTTGCATTAAGGGAGCGCGGGCTGACTGAGGTGCATGGCCTGATCCCTCCCCCTCTTTTGGTTCCATTGAATACAATATTTTACATTTATATCTAGTCAGCCACAACCAAAATACAATATAGCATTGAGGAAAATCATGATAAAGCATTTATAGGGGAAGAAACAGATAAGAAAAACACCAAAAAGCAGTGTTAATGTGACTTTGGGCATGATCCCCAGCTGCATGGCATAAACACATTCACGACTTCTGTCTAGTGCCCCTTGAACAAAGACAATTTCTAACTAGGGGATCCGCCACCATAGGGCTTGTCGGGAATAGCTCAATTGAGTGCTATACAGTATTCTGCAGATTATAGGTTCAAACCCCACCTTATCAAGTTCTTTGTTCAACTGTTAAACTTTCATTTGAGGTTCAAATGTAGGATCAAGGATATGTTTAGTCCTCTCAAGCCGGTAAACTGAACAGGGACATTTTTGTCAAGAGTATTGCATTTGAGCATTAACTACTCCCTCTTGTAAGACCAATGCTGCACATACCGGTACTGGCAATTATTCCAAGATTCTTGACAAATGCCATGTAAGATGGGCACAACCACAGTACAACATCAAGTATCTTACCTGAATTGAAGTCTTTTTGTTAGTTTTAGAAGAAAATTTGAAACTATCCTTCTGGAAGATGGCGCACAACATAGACAGTTTACAACGTTTGATGTGTATACAATACACTGTACTTGTTCATGAATGCATATGATTGCACATAGTGCGTAAATTCCCAGTTCTATTTTAAGAAGCTATTGGAGTCCGTGTATACATGTACTGTACCGGATACTTTCTGCTCACATCCGATGCAGGTTTCCTGTTTAGAAATAGCAGCCAGAGTTTCCATGACCCTGGTGCCCCAGCCCACAAAAATGGAATCAGAAGTCACCGATGCTATTCTGGGACTAAACAGCCCTGGTGATTTTCATATTTCAGCCTGAAAAAAATGTACAGCATTTTTTTTGTTCACTTTTGAATAAAGCACTGCCCTCAAAACCTGGCTCATTTTGTTATTAATTATATATTATATTTTTCAATTATTTGTCGCCCAATGGTGATTCGGGTTCATGAGAGGATGGAAGAATGTATATTTTATTTTTCTATTATGAGAGCTACAAAAGTAATCCAAAGTAAAACTTTTCCTAGGAGGGTTGCAGATGCAAAATAAAAGGGTTGGGTTTTTTAGGGGATGGGGGTGGGAGTAAGAATACAATACACAAAATTGGGATTTGTCAGGAAAAGAATTTTTTTTTTTTAATTCCCAGGGCAAGGAGCCTTCAAATCAGATTACTGCTCGTATATTAAGGCTGGTTGGGCTATTTTAATGTGAATATTTCTTTATGTCATCACTTGTCTAGTTCGAGACACTAAAACATAGACAATATATCTACAAAAAAGGGGAGACTTGACATGAGTACAGTACTTCTTAAGAATTGCAACTTTTTTGTCAAACTACTTTCAGCTCGTGTTAGATTAGGGTTTGAAAGTGATCTTGTGAAACTCATCACTAAATGAGTGCTCTTTTCGAGTTTTACCTTGAAATCAAAGGTTTTACCAAGGAAACAAAACTTTTTTGGGGATTTCTTTTTTTTATTCACTTCTAAATGATACATCAAATGGAGAAAATTGCTCCCCCAACATTCAGTTTTGGAAAAATTACCCCAGAAATTTGGAATGATTTGCCATCAAACCATGATTAGCTCCTCGTATGTTTAACTGGTTCCTAGCTGTCCCTATTGCGATCAAAAATGTAAATGCTAGGAAGGAGTCTCCTTGCATTGTGCATTTGTTTGTGCACAAAATTAATCCAAAATAAAAGCCTTTTAAAGAGGGTTGCAGCTGCCCTAAAATAGAAATGTTACATAAAAATTAGAAGTGACGTGTTGAAATTCATTCAAACATGGTTTCCCTTTACAACAAAAGACAAGCGCCCAATTGACAGCAGGGCAAAAGAAATGAGTAGGTTGGACTACAGAATGATTAATAATTCTTGATTCAATATTTGATTTAATTAAACTCTTCAAATCCAAAGAGATTAAAATATCTTCAACAAAATCAACAATGAAAATCAGGCCTTAGATTAAAACCCGAGTCAGTGACTATATCGAGCCACTTTCTGTTTCACAATATCTGTTTACAATTTCAGGAAAACATAAAATGCAAAGCCAACTTTAACATTCCAAGAAGATCCATTTCAGCATGGTTGTCATGTAGTGAAATTCACTGCTGTAAACAACCATTACAGATGTTGCTTTAACGGCATAGATTTTTGGTTTTCAAGACACAGTGATAAAAGTCTGCAGTTTCTTGCAAGAACATGAAGAAGTTTTCTTACCGAAGCAGCCATTGTTTTTGTTCTTTTGTTGCGATTTGTTCTTTTGTTGCGATTGTGTTGATACTTTGTATGTTGTTTGTTGTATCACATTCGGAACAAACAGCCATAAGACATATCAGATTGCAGGTTTTTGGGGGGAGGGTCTCCTGACGACGAACAGAGTGTGCTGGCCGAAACATTGAGTTAAAACCGGTTCTTCTCAGAACCACCACATTCTCACAAAAGAGTATTACACATGGTGCCACTGCAAATTACCTTGTTGTTTTCCTCACAATGCCAACTTCATTCTTATCTTATCAGAAACAGTTTTGAATAATGCAATTTGGTTTTGACGTCAGCCATCAGCGAAAAATATTCTAGACCCGAAACCAAACCAGAATGGATCAAAGTTTCAGTTCTCGAGACTGTTATTGAGACCAATGACTTTCTCTCTTGGCTTTCTTTGTTAAATAGTGTTCAGATATTCGTGACTCAAATTCACTTGACTAAATTGGATAAGTATTTTACTTGACTCGACTCGATTCGACTTGAACCTTGTTGACCTGATGACTCAATTCGACTTGACTCACTTTTTTGAAATGACTCGACTCAACCTTTTGGACCTATAACTGGACTGGACTCGAGTCACTTCTTTAAAATGACTCGACTCGACTCAGTCGATTCACTTCTTGAAAATGACTTGACTCGACTCGAGTCACAAAAAACAGTGACTCATTACAACTCTGCTGAGGAATGACAAGGAGATTCTGATCCAGGAGATAATAAATTATAAAATGAGTCCTTGGCATTGTCAGCAGCAGCCTCAATCATTTATGGAATAAACTAAACTATTATTGTAGTGTGACAGAACCTCTCACAAGTAGGTCATTCTATACATTTAGGGTCCTAAGTCTGAAATTTTTTCCTGTTCCTGCAACCTCCGAAATTTATCGTTTGCCATTCAAGTGATACTAAAAATGACTTCAAACTTATTAAAATTTGTTGGGTAGGTTATTTGATTCACAAAAGCATTCTTGGAGGAAGAGTACACACATAAAGGAATGCATCGTATCTTCTATTTCAAAATCGTAGATGCCAGACTTATAGGAACAAGAAAAATTGAACCCCAAATTTACAAAATGTTCCAAATGCATCTTCTAATGTAGTATTTAAAAACTCCATTTCAGAAAGCAAACAAACCAGATTTCAGTTTACAAATGTACATCCATCATACTAACCACATTTACAAACATCCATGTATCATTGCAGTAGAATGCACAAGGTTTTCATTTCCAACTTGGTTGTAAATGTAATTATTACTAATATTAATTTGATAAGGCACTCAGAAAGCACTGTGAAAGAGACAATCAGTGGATTGCATATGATAATCTTTTTTCGCTTTAGTTCAAAATATCTCATCCAGTTGCTTGTGAGTATCTACTTTTAATTAACTCGTGTACACAGAGGTGCAAAATCTTTCTCATTTGAAAAACAGTTGCATTGATTTAAACTCGACAATTTTCCCAATAATTGAAAATTGAATAACAAAATGTAAGGATATGTTCACATTTCTTGCAGAAGTAGGGTTATATCTTAGACTCGGAAAGCACATCATGCATTGACTTTGCATTTGCTGAGATGAATCTGAGAAAATTGAATTGCCCTCTCATGGTAAACCTTCCCTCTCGTTGGTAATACTTTGAAAATACAGACTTGAATTACCCACTCCAACTGATTTCTCATCTATTCTGAGGTAATTTTGTCAGTGTTTTTAATACAGATCTACTGATTTAACGAAGTTTGATACGGGTTTGCTTTCTGAATTTAATGATTTATTTCTTTGTGTCATTCATCTTTGCCGTATCCCAATAATTTTTTGACTCACAAGCCGGGCTTCTTAAGGACTAGTTTGACTTGCCCGCCGCTGTTTTGACTAGCATTTGGCTAGCGGGCTACCCCTAATTTCGAACCCTGTGCGTAGAATGTTATTCGAGGGAATGAACGTTCAAGTTCTTTTTTAGTGATAACAATGTTCAATGTCTGATGGAATTAGTGGTTGGTGGATACACTGGATAGCCCCAGTTTAATTAATCTGTCCTTACACTCGGTGATAGACCTTTGCAGACTGTCCTGCAGCCACTACCAGATCACCACCTGATGTGAATGTCATGCCACATGGAGTACCACATCCCTTGATCACACATCCAATGTACTTGCCATCAGGACTGTAATGCAGAATACCACATGTTGGATATCCATCCACAGCAACGTAGATGCTGCCATCACTGTCACAGCACACACCAGTATGGTTCCCATCCCCCTGCATGTTGCTGGTTATGTCTACTGAGAATACACTGGTACCATAGTAGTCTAAACACACCAACCATTTGTTAATGCGTGTTGTGTAGATAAAGCGGTGATTGTGCATTGTCAGATAACCTCCAATCATTTGAGCAGGCAGTCTCCTGATGAGGGATCCATCTGGGTTGTGTAGAGATATCTTGTCCTTGCCTGCATAACCCACTGCTATCAGATTGCTGTCATCCACTGCAAGGCATGTTGGATGGCTGTCTGACCCTCTACCTGGTGTGATCTGATGGAGGAGCCGATGTTGCTTGTTGAAGACCTTGACTACTCGAACATCTAGAGCAAGGAGCTTGTCATCCTTGCTCACTGCGATACACCTTACATCTTTAGTGAGGCCATTGATTTGTAGCCTTTGTGGGATAAGAGATTGTTCCTGGTGACTATTGGGTATTGAAGCTGTAAATAATGCACCACTGTTTCCATAATAATTTTGAGACAGTGCAAGTATTTTGTTGCCAGAGAGTGCTGCAACATGTGGTATTTCCATGTATACACCTGTTAATCCAAAGTTGAAATCAGTCTTCACTTGCCATTTCTCCTTCACACATGATCTTGCAGGTCTTGGTGATTGCCTTTCTGCAGTCTGTGGCTCTTCTTCCAGAATGAGTCTCCCAAGTGATCTCTCTCCTTCTTCAAAGTCCATGAAGGTCAACTTGTCAGGAACTTGTTGTGGCTGTTTCCCTGTCAATTCACCAAGGTTATGCAAGAGCTTCTGCTGAAGTTCAGGAATCTCATAGCAACTTGCTTGATTCATGAGCTGTTTCACCTCCTCCAGCTTGTTCTCTGTCTGTGTCACCTCTTTCCTGTTCTTAGCTTGAGCAGCTTCAAATGTTCTGACTCTCTCTTGGTAAATCCTGTCAGTCTCTGTTAACAGTTTCTGCTCCTCCTGACGGGTCTTGGCAACCTCTTGGTCAGCCTTATCTGAGATTTTCTTCTTGGTGTTTGAAAACATGATGTCGAGTTTCTTGCGAGATATGGAAGTCTTCTCTATGGTGGTGTTCAGTTCTGTTTTGCTTTGACCAACTTTTGCAACAAGTTCTTCTATTTGTTTCTTACATTTCTCAAAAGCCACAGGTAGGCCAATGAGAGAATGTTTGGCATGATCAAGTACAGAGCAAGTTGTACATATGACTTGTTCACATGTATTACAGTAGACATTGAGATTCTGATCTGGATGGTTACCACATCGCGGAATGTCTTCTCTTAGTTTACTCTTGTAGACAATCTTTCCTGATCGAAATTGAGCCAGTGTGTAGATTTTATGAGATTTCATGACAGTCATACGTCCGTGTGCCTTTTGACATTCTTGACAGAGGAAATGATCACAGTCCATGCATCTTGAAATAGCCTGATTCTCCTCATCACAGGCTTGACATTTGATGTCTGACCCTTGACCTTCCAGTAGCTTTTCCTGCATTGTAACTTCCTCCACCAGGGCACTGAATGCAAAGTTATTAGGGAGATCGGCAACCCCAGACCCTTTCAACATGGTTTCATGTCTGCACAGAGGACATGTCAGCTTTGTACCACTAGGATCTTGGCTCTGTCTGAGCTCTTGGAGGCATTGCAGGCAAAAACTATGCAAACAGTCCAGCAGTTTGGGCTGCCTGAAACGGTTGGTGCAGATGGAGCATTCTAGATGATCCACACTAATCTTCTCCAACACTGATTGAGCTGTAACACTAGATGCCATCTTGACTTCTTGAAGAATCAATTGTTGTTTTTAACCTAAGAATGGATAAGAGTGTCAAAGGTTGACTTCAATCTATGAAATGATCCTATGAATCACCTCCAACATTGTCAACACCTCTTTTTCCCTAGGTTCATACTACTTTTGGTATTTTGAGATTAACCGATTTGAAGGTGGTCATATTTTGGTTGGCTCATTCCTTATAATTTCTGTGTATTGAATTCAATCGATTTCATGTCAGCTAGAAAATTATAGTTTAAACTTCATTGCATACCGTTTGCTTCTGAGTTGATTAGTTTTGGAGATATTCAGTTCCTGAGATAAAGTCACTTTGTAAAACTTACTTTATTGTATTTTATACATAGCACGTAATAGTGGCCACGTGGTAGATATGAGGATAGGACGGTTCGTGAAACAATGAATTCACACTTTTCATGCTGGTACTGTGTACTTTTGTCACAGCGCTATGGGAATTAGTGCGCGAAGCAGCGTATTTGGGATACGACACTTCGTGGTGAAACATTTTTTATTATTTAGAGACATGCCGCACAGTCTAATTAGCATTCTTAGTTAATTAATTGGAACTCAGATCAGAACAAAACTTTGTGAGAGTGATCACTTTGATGAAAAACATGCCGCACAGTCCAATTAGCATTCTTAGTTAATTGGAACTCCGATCGGAACAAAACTTTGTGGGAATGATCACTTTGATGAAATAAAACTTTAATGACAAAACCTCAATCTGGCCAAAAATCGGAATATGACGGTTCATGGTGTGACTGACAAATATGTAATTAATTTAGTTGATTGATATAACTCCAATGTGCAGAGAGGCACTTGCAATTAGACTCCCAAAAATAAGTTTAGCTCCCCCAAAAGTTTGTGTTCCTACTCTTAGTTACTAAAAGAAACAAGAAAAGTAGTGCTAAAAACACAAATGCCCCGCAACCATGCTTATTTCCATAACATAACACCACTCTATTAACATCAACTTACCTGGGTCACATGGAACGTTCATTGACATCGTTATTGTTTTCTTTAGGTTATATATGTAATGTATTGATGCCTATGATCCCATAAAGAACTTTGGGTTTTTTTTGCTTTTCTGTTGGGAAGTCATTGTATGTGATTTAAGCAAACTGACTGGATATTTTCAGTCTTAAGCAAGACATTTCTCAAAGGCAAATCCTTTTAGCATAATCCTTTGAGCATTAACAAAGCCTACATGGAAATAATAAGAATTTTTAAATAAATCAAAAGAAAATATGGTTTGGCCAAAAAAAAGAATAGTTCTGCTTCCGGTTACCCGATCGACCCTATTTTTAGGCTGCGACCCTAAACATTTAATCAGCAATTCCAACCCCCCCCCAAAAAAATTTTGAATAAATACAAATAAAATCTGTCTTTTCTGTCTTCACAAAATACCTCTCAACAACCCTTTTGCATCCAAAAATGCTTTTATTTATTTGTTTTCTTACTTACATTCGCTTTTTTTTCAAAGAAACCTCCGTTATTACAAATTCGCTTCGCGATATAACTACTTCGCAATTCGATGTCACGCACGGTGACTATAATCACGTGGCGACGACTGGTTCCCGCCGCGCCGCGCAGGGGCCAATTTAGAAGACATAATGAAAATGCGGTAACCAGTCCATAGCTAGCTATGTGACCGATAGGGCGCTATCAGTACAGTGCAAGCCACTGTTAACTGGTCGGATTCGACATCGTAAAAATGCCAAGAAAACACCGATGGAGAAAGAACATTTTTGCAAGTTAATTTACAGAATTGATCTAGCTTGTCTGTGTATGTATTTTCTGTGTTCAGGAGTTCATTTTGAGATCGCACTACTCATATTTGGAGTGATACATGCCGCGTGTTTCCCAAAATTGTTGACGGTAAATATAGCTCTGACGGCCCATGGTGGGCCGCTCGCCACACACGCACGCATTACACACCTCGGAGTTTTGGCCAGCTCCCCGCATCTTGACTAGCGTTGTGCATATGGTGCGAACAGCCTGAATTTTAATTTTTTGAAATTATCGAACGTAAATATATTGACAATAATTAAAGGTAGGTTTTACTCACTTTTTGTTGCCATTTCGTGTATAGCTTTCGTAGTGCAATAGAAATAGTTCAGGCTAAAACTTCGCATATAATTGAATACCCCATTCAATCTGCATAAAAAAAATTGGCAAAAAAAAAAAATTTCCAACCGACCGACCCTATTTTTGAAAGACATGTAATCGGAAGCAGAACTATTTTTTTTTTGGCCTTATTTGAATAAGCTTGAGTTATCATCATGACATCATTTCTTTGGTTTTGAATAAAGAGAACAGTGCCTAGGGGGTCCAAAAGTGACTCATAATTGTAAGGACAACCTACAGAGCTGCATATCCATGTACATGTACTACGGTGCAAGTCTCAAGTTTTAGTAATACATGTACATGTGTTTGTTTTCTGTTGTTTCAATTAAAAATATGACTGTCCAAGAAAAAAGGGTGGAGAAGCCACATTAATTATACAAAAACATGTATAAACAGTGTACATTTATGCCCCCTAATATGTTAGTGAGTGATTACATGTACATTTGCACATGTACATGTATAGGCCTACATTGTATACTGGATTGGTAAAAAAAAATTAAAAAAATTTAAAAATATTAAATCCTATTGTTTTAATTCTAATGACCTTGGCCTTTGTCTTATGGGGTCCAAACTTATAAGTTATACTAGCAAGCAACCTTCATTGTATCAAGGTTCAAGACATGCAAGGTTCAAGACATACATGTACATTATCAAGTTCTTTGTTCAACTATTACATTTTTAGTTGAGGTTCAAATGTAGGATCAAGGATATGTTTAGTCCTCTCAAGCCGCCGAGAGAGTATTGTATTTGAGCATTGCCATTGATTACTCCCTCTTGTAAGACCAATGCTGCGCATACCGGTACTGGCAATTATTCCAAGATTCCTGACAAATGCCATGTTAAATGAGTACAACAACGGTACAACATCAAGTAGCTCACCTGAATTGAAGTCTTTTTGTTAGTTTTAGAAGAAAATTTGAAACTATCCTTCTTGAAGATGGCGCACAACGTAGGCAGTTGACACCGTTTGATGTGAATGCAATGCACTGTACATGTACCTGTACATGAATGCCTAAGTATGTTGCACACAGTGCATAAATTTCCAGTTCTATTTATAGACGCTAGTGGAGTCCACATGTATGTGTACTGTAGGGGTAATTTATGCACACATCAATGCAGGTTTACCGTGCATAAATAGCAGTCAGTGTTTGCATGAACCCATGTGCCCCACACAAAAATAGAATCAGAAGTCACCAATGCTACTTTGGAGTAAGCAACCCTGGTGATTTTCAAATTTCAGCCTGAAGAGAATTTGTTGATGTCAATAAATTTTTCCTAATAATCTATTTGCTCACTTTGGTTGAAAACAAATAGAGAAAAAATACATTTGTTCCTATTAAAAATATATAGTTTTTAAATCTATTTCTTTCAAGTGTATTTTGCCCCCCCCCCCCCAAAGGGGAACATTTAAAAGTAAAAAAATTTAGTGGTAAAATAGGTTGCTATTAAAAAAATAGAATGCTATTTATAAAAAAATAGTGCCCACAGACAATGGTGACAACTTAATATGTAGAGCATATGGCAGATGATCTCTCATGTTGAAAATGCGCGCACATGGCGGTAATGCAAAATCATTTGCATACATTTGATAAATGAGCATCTTTAGCAGTCATATACATAAATGAAATAAGCAACAGAATACAACTGAATAAATTTAAGAAAGGATAATTGAAATAAAATAGACGAAAAGTAGTATGCAGTTTGAAAAATAGACATAAAATTGGATGACCACAAGAAAAATAGGAATAAAAAAGTTCATCTGTACCAACTTATTTTGATGTTATATGATAAAAATATATTAAAATAAATTAAATAGGATTCTGCCAGATTAGGATCCAGATTCCTGAAAGAGTTAATTACAGAAATCTGATGGGGTTATATATATCCCCCATAAATGTCTGAAATACTGGACTTCTTCAGTCGTGAGCTACACATGTGCATGCAAAATTTCCTCAGAAGTTGTATTTCCTGAATTTGAAATCTAGATGGATTTTGCGCTTTATATTTGCTAAGGCTGCTGAAAATAATGAAAATATTGAGGTATTAATAATAAAAAAATAAATAAGATAAACTTATCAGACATCTGACATAATGTATTGGTGATCGTGAGGGCTCAGTCAGCGTGCAGGTTGACTTGATGCAATCCGTTGTCACAACTGATGCTTGTTGGTGATGCCACTCCAGACTGTGTATGTGGTCCTTATACAAGATCCCTATATGAAGTCACCAAGGAGGATGATTTTACCCAGCAGAGGAATGACAAGGAGATTCTGATCCAGGAGAATGTAAAATGAGTTCTTGGCATTGTCGGCAGCAGCCTGATAATGTTGGCTAAATGTTTAAACATTCGAACAACATGAAATATGTGCAAAATTGTTTACAAAAATAACCATGGGTGACTATAGTTACAGTATTTTATCAGTGGAATTTGATGTTGTATTCTCCCCCTCCCTTCTTCCCCAGGTCCTAGGCTCATGGTGAGACGATTCTAGCTCCTGGGGTTCTGACACCAACATCCCCTCTAGAAGGACCAAGACTGCGTGGTCAGCGACACCGAGATGTCACACATGACGCTCACCATACCGGCTAAGGTTGGTGCTTATTGGGTCAGTGACTACCGAACACCATTACCACGCTGCAAAAACAGATAGACAAGCAAGACCCTGTGGAGGAATTCAAGGTGACTTTGGGGTAAAAGTTTGGCTCAGTGATATTTGCAGAATTTTAAAAGTCTCAAAAACATTGCATGAATTTCAGTAGTCTATAGAATTTCAAGTGAAATTATCAGATCTTCCAATTTTCATATCTGCAAAGCAGAATGTATCAGAATACAAGGGCTTTATTTCAACCAATTGTTATCGACAACAAACCAAATTTTGCACTCAACCAGCAATAGCTAAATGTATTACCAGACAGTTTTGTCAAAAATGTTTTGTAGAGTCAGTGAAATGTGACTCACCAGTGATATGTCCCTGATGTCTAGTCTGAGTCATGAGTTGAGTCATGAGAGCCGAGTTTGAGTCATCATCCGTTGTAACTTGAAGTTAAGTCTGAGAATTTTCAGCACAAGTCAAACTCAATTCCGAGTCACAGACTTGGTTCTATATTTCTGCCATACTGGTGTATGGCTATATTGTCCATGCCTTTGCTGAAGAATGAATATGCAAACGTTTAAGCCAGCCAAAGATGACTTGATTCGTAATTGAAGTCCAAGCTAGAGAGAGAACAAGCAATGTAATGTGTGTTGTCTGTCAATTTGTTCACTTTGAAATGTAGGTGCTAGGCCTATATGAAGTGGCAGTCAACTGTGAGGAAGCCAAGAAACCTGTCTGCAAAAAACAAGAACAGATTCCCCAATGTACTTCCATGTACAGGTAAGTTCATTTGTAGAAATTAGTTTACTTTCAAATAGACCGTTAAGTTGAAAAGTGGCCTCTTGAGGCAAACACTTGTTAGCACACTCACACTGCATTGTGAATTTTGCTAAATTGTAGGGGGATGGGTGCTAAGGTAGTCTATGGAATATTCCCTTGCACAGCAAGGGTCTATGATATCCGAGAAATTCGGCGATTGTTATGCAAAACAAGACTGCATCTTGACCTCGAGACCGTTCAGCGGGCGCCTTCTATGTCGGATCTTCGGTAACCTGTTGTCATGTACATCTAATGAAACCTAGAGACAACATCCATTATGCTTTTACATTGTGAATTGTGTCAGCAAAAATAGGCTGTGTCACACGGCCTGTTACGATGTGTTACGTGATGCGCAAGTGTGACCTTGAATCATCGTCACATCATATTTTAAATAACGCGCGTAATGAGAATGCCGTCTGGCACGTTCACATCTCGCCCACGTCTCGCCCACAATGAACATTCGCGTATGCTAACAGTTTTGAAAGCCAATGTCAGGTTTAATTATCTCTATGTCCGTTGTTGTATTACAAAAACATGGCATCAAAATTGACCACTGAACAGCTTAGTTCAGATTTCAGAATGAAATGATGTCATGTTGATTCCAATTGGCTGGCGCACGGGGTCTCACACATTTGCATGCGTAGATATATCAGACGTTGGACCAGAGACAGAGAGGGTGATACAATGGGTGATACTCAGACTAGTGTTAAGGCTTCATTCACCATTTTGTGTTTCAATTTATTCAAAAAAGATTGGACTGTAACATTAGGCAATTAAATGGGGTTCCGTTGATACCATTCAAACCTTTTATTGGTTTCGTAACTAGTGTTCGTAACTAGTGTTAATTGTAACTATGAAAGAGACTGTTAAATTCTTATTTCTTTATACCTTTCATTGGTGTAACTATGGGCCATGTGTCTCCCCCCCCCCAAAACTCCATTTGAAATCTCGAATTGCACACAACAAATGTATATGTTACCTTCCTTGCCCCCCTCCCCTTTCAAAAAAAAATTAATGAACCCCCAGGTGCCCCCTATAAGCTTAACCCTAGTTACGCCGCTGGTACCTTTAGAAGGTGCCAGATCACGTACATTTCACTCCCATAGAATGTGCGATATTTATAAGTTATCTATAGGTGTGGTGGGTACTTGACTGCACCCTCGGCAACCATACGATATCAGTTCTTCCACTTGTTAGATTCATTTTGGAGAAACAATTCCATGTTGTGATTTTTCCCTTGTAAAGTGGTTGCTAAGGTGCCAACAAATTTCAATCATTCATGTGTCACTTTTTTGCTTAGGATTTCTTTTTTGCTTAGGATTTCTTAGGACATTTTAAGTTTTCACAGGAGAATAAATTACTGAACATTAAACCCCATGAGGCGATCTTTAACATACAAAAGATTTCTTTTTGCTACATTTTTTATGTTTTGATAAAAAAGAAAATTTTTCAAAGCTGACTAAGCAGTGTTTGTGTAGAGTTTGGTTTTTTTTTGCTCACAATACGTGGTACTAGACCTCAACAAACCTGACTATTTTTCTAAGATCATAGTTACATACTCAATATATTTTGAGAGCATGTTGACAATGTTCAAATGCGGTCAATCAGGAGATTAAAAAAATCAAGAGAAAATGTGTTCACAAATCTGATTACTGTATAGATGTTCAAATATACATATGTTGGGGAAACCACTGATCAGTGATGTTATGTTTTTGTGGAAAACAAAATGGTCCTAAGTGTAAACAAACGACAACGTAGAAAAGACGGTTGTTTCATGAAATCATTGTTGCTATGTTCTCAGAAAACGTCTTTAAAAATGTCTTCGACAAAATATACAGTGAATGAACTAACTAGTAATACAGTAACAACGGCTTCCAAATGAAGTGGTCTATAAATGATAAAATACAAAGATATCTTTTTGAGTCGCATCATCGGTGTAAAACAGGCAGCCCTCATTATGTATGCAAATAACCCTAGGAGTCACACATGCCCAGTGGAAAATGCAGCTGAAACGTGCGTAAGATACTGATTGGTAAAATAACAGACTTTGGATCTTTGCTGAAATGCCATTGTTGTCATGGAAGCTGCGTTCTCTTGGAGATATATTCTGTAATTAAAGCAAATGCTTACTGCTTCATTTAGACTACTTGGTCTATCAGCATGTAGCAAACCAATACTTATTCAAAAAAACAAAAGCCTTGATCATTTATGGCATAAACTAAACTATTATTGTTATGATACGGAACCTCTCACAAGTAGGTCATTCTATACATTTAGGGTCCAAAGTCGGACATTTTTCCTGTCCCTGTAACCTCTGAAATGTATCATTTGCCATTCAAGTGGCATCAATAAATGAATTCAAACTATATATTTCTTGGGTAGGTCATTTGATTCACCAAAGCATTTTTGGAGGAAGAGTACACACATAAAGGAGTGCATCTTCAATTACAAAATCATAGATGCCAGATGTATGGGGACAGGAAAAAGTGGGTCCAAAATTCTTAGAATGTTCCAATGCATCTTCTATTGTAGTATATAAAAAATCACATTTGAGAAAGGCAAAAAAAAAATTCAATTTACAAATGTACATCCATCATACCAACCACACTTACAAACATCCATGTATCATTGCAGTAGAATGCACAAGGTTTTCATTTTCAACTTGGTTGTAAATGTAATGAAACTAATATTAATTTGATGAGGCACTCAGAAAGCACTGTGAAAAAGACAACCAAGGGATTGCATATTATTTAAACTATCGCTTGAGTTCAAAATCACACATATTTCATCCAGTTGCTTTTGAGTATTTACATTTGTCCCATTCGAAAATAAGTTTCATTCCTTTAATTTCAGCAATTTTTCCAATAATTGAAAAATCGAAAACAAAATTTAAGGAAATGTTTACAATACAGGAGTAGGTTTATATCTTATACTTGGAAAACACATCATGCATTGACTTTGTATTTGCTGAGACAAATCTGAGAAAATTGAATTGCC